TGCGAAAATTAATAGTAATGGTAAGTGTGAATCGGAAATATTTTTTTTTACCTCAGTTGCTAATCTCCCGAATTTATGCCGTAGATTCGAAATTACTTAATTTCGGAGAAGTTTTATTGCGGGGAATATTATTTTACATAATCTGTGTGTTTGGGAGAGATATAGATAGACAAAAATTCTGTAAATATGGGTGGGATAATTTATTTCGAAACTCTAGTGTCATGATTGTGTACTTAAACCTTTCACGAAATTGATAACGATTAACAGCTAATGCAGATTGTTTATCAGTCCTTAAGAGTTTTTGATTGTAATAAAATATAAATGAATGACTGCGCTCAGCCGAATGCTGAAGACATAATTGAAGTGTCGTTGCATGGTGGCAGAACAGCGGACCATTCGAAGAAGTGCGCCTACTGATCATACCATCTTTTCAACGATGCTACGTCACTACACAACTATCCACTGATAGAAAACTAAATCAACCCTTGGATACCGATAAAATATCGAAACACGACAAAAATATCTACACAGACTAAATCAGATCGTTACGTGGTGGCAATGGGGCGGACCATTCTAAGAATGCGCCTACTGACCAAACCATCTTTGTCAATGAAGCACCTAGAGTGCAAGCATCACCACGCAACCATTCACTGATGACACCACCCTTGATACGCCGGTCGTTTACGGACCGAAATACTGATAGTCTGTGAACGCATCTACTGAAAAACAAAAAAATCAAGTTTCGCATATTTAGCTAGTTGCACAGCACATGATCATATGTTTCCTTTTTACCACAGTGTTCATCGCACGTCTGAAATCTGTGTCAGGTTTTGCCGATCGGGTGACAGATAAGGGTGTGTCAAATATGCTAACACCTAACCAAAAAAAACTAAGTCCCCTGAAAACATAATAAAAATAGAAACTCGGTGTCACGAGACACATGCGACAGATAATCATCACGCCTTCCTAATATAGAAATAATCAGCAAAACCTGACACAGATTTCATCATCCGCGTTCATCACCCGCGTTCATCACCCGCGTTTCTGTAAATTTCCTAACAGATAATAATGCTAAGTTGGGTACGCGATAACCTCAAAGACCTAAAACCGGAGAACTTTTACAAAAAATTTGGCTACTCTCACACCTCACGGAAACAAGCTGAAGAAAAGCTACGAGAATTACTTACAGCTATCAAGAATGAGAACAATATTATCAATCGGAAAAAGGCGAGTTGCTTGTTAGATAGTTTTGAGGTAGGTAGAAATTTCACCAATAGATGTCGACGAGGATATTTTCTTGATTAATCAGTTGTTCGTTTTATAGTCGTGGACGATTTCAATTGACTGTGAGAGGTACTGGTGGGATGTGGAGGTCTCGCTTGGCAGGGTATGTTTCGATTTTTTGTCGCCGTTATTATAGTAATAGATCTCTGATTAATTAACGATCTTGCCTTCAAAGTCATCACACGAAGTGATGGGACGAATTTCAGCTTATAATACAATTAAAAACTTCACTAGGAAAATTAACGACGAGGAAAAAGATCTAAATGAATTTCAACCGCCATCGAAAAGGGCAAAAAATGAACCACGAACGCCAGAGAATAAAATAATCACAGATCCTATGAATAATCCGTTTTTTGAAAGGTCAAATGATAGCGATGGAAGCTGGCGTCCTAAATATGAAGATGAAGAAGATGAAGGAGATGAAGAGTTTGAAAAAAAAGAAAAAAAACAAAAATCAAGGTTGTTTTGGTTAGTGGGCCCAGGAAAGATAAATATAAAAGAATCTGAAATTCAAAATAAGGTACGCTTTTCCGATTATTCTCTTTCATTTGGAGACATAATGAAAAAGTGAATGGCTAACTAAACTTATTTATCTTTTTTCTATTAACACAGTGGGTATTAGATGGGATCAATATCTCGGATATCTTCTTCCAATTTCGTCAGTTATCAATCAAAAAGACATTAGATGGGAGCATTGAAGGGACGAGTGAGATATTGTAAGTATTAATCCTTTATAAATGAATTTGATTGAACACTTAATGTTGACACTAATGTTTACACAATTATTTTAGAGCTCTTAACCATATTTTTTTAATACAAGACTCAGAGAACAATGGTCAAATTATTGACAAACAACTTTGGGACAAAGCTATTCAGCAAATCTATCAAAAATATCCACCACCTGATCCGCCAAAAGATTGGCTGTCTAAATGCTACGAAATGTCAAAAGTAAAAATCTTCTTGTTAATCTGTTTGTTAATAGTATATAAAACATAATATTATTTCGCATGCTTTGTAATTAGATGGCTCGAAAAGACTTTAAGAATAGCAAGTCGTTGTTAAAGCATTGGTATAAATCAAGCAACGAGGAATCTAATGACATAATTTTTGATGTGTTCTATAATATGTAGGTTATTGTAGTGGACATTTTTCCATCACGCCATAGTGTTTTATTAATCATTATTTGTCACATAAATATTTTCACTAGACTCGGTGTATACACATCCTCGGGATCAATGAAGCATCTCCATGAAGATTCATTTGCCCACAAAGCACTATCGCCTGTCATATCCCCTTTTTTAGGGATTCGCTTGAAATTTCTTCAGTTTGGTAATTTTTTATCATTTTTCTGATGTACCATAGTGCAAGTTACCTATTTTC